TAAGTGATAGATATGTATTTTTAAGGTATCGGCAGATACCTTACGATAAAGACCTTACGAAGCGATGTTTGGGTGTTCAGCAAGGGTGGGGTTGGCATCAGCTGGAATCCCTTACGATGAAATACCAAACCTTAATTCTGAAGAAGATTTCGAAGCAGCAGCAACAGCAGCACTACAAGAAGATCAGCAAAATTAACGAAACTACTCTACGCATACCAGCAGATAATGCAGAAGATAGTACATAATATATGATAATACAAGAGATACCACAGAAGACAATAGAGACGATAATGACAGTACATCTGAAATGAAAGCGCCTAAACAAACCAAGAAAACAGAATCGGATCCAGAAATGAACAAGCGAGATAAAGATTTGGAGCGTAAGTAACTGAGACAGATTTTGCTAAAGTTATACTTATTTTCATATTTTTTAGCCTCACAGGTTTCACTGAAATGCAATACATGCAACACTTGACTACCGGATGGCGACACGGATATTAAAGGAATTTGTTTCCATTGCAGAACTCAAGAAAATATCGTCAGTCACAGAAAGAAATCTAGAGAATGTTTGGAAAAGCAAGCGCAAAAAATGATGAAGTTATCGAATCAAAAATTTTCGGAAGTAGATGTGGGGGCCACTGTACGTGTTCCTGTACCTGATGTTGACAGAGCACGTGGATCGCCACGAAATGTGCTAGCGATGATTGAAACTGTAAAGTTCATTATTTTATTTTTAGGTACAGAAAGCGGTGTCTTAAAATCCAAGTACACCAGATCCAGGTTCAATCCTTGTAAAGAAAAACTTCTCGATAAAGACCAACTTTTGCACGGAGCCACAGAAAAGGAAATCACATTGCGTGAAGCTGCTGCTTGCGCTAGTCCCTCTGGTTCTCAGGGATACCAACGATGTCAGTGCAAAACCAAATGCACAATAACACCCTGCTTATTTTCATCATTGTCTAACATGATGTGGTCATTAACGACAGTACCCAGTCGTTGTTGTTAATTGTATCGAATGTGTTTTACATCTAACAACATTGCCCACTATTAGAGGGAATTTACGTTACCGACCGGCCATTAACGTAAAAATCGACAGAAATGGCTTTTAACGATATTGCCCGGTCCATATCGTAAATGACCGGTTTACATCATCACCCGTAACAGATATATCAAGTAATAACAACACCAGACATGAAGTGAAATCAATATCTAGTTACGCAGCCGGTTACTACTAACATACGCAACCGAGACAAGAACCGAAACATCAACAACTAAACATGTCATGAGAGCCACAAAGATAAGAATCCTAAAAATTACTACAGGTTTAAGCTTGCGTGACAGTACGAGGATGGTACAGGATGTGGTCAGAGGGACAAGACCGTGGAGAAGATAGTGGACGGATCATGTTGAAAGAATGAGTGAGGAAAGATTGGCAAAGAAAATCCAAACACAAAAATGAGATACCAGGCGACTTTCAAGAAGACCACATAATCGTTGATAATCGATAGGAACGGAAGGGGGAAAAGGAAAGAGGAGAGAAGAGGAAGGAAGAGGAGAAATTGAAAAAAACAGGGCTAGTCCCTAAAATAAGAAGAAAAAGAGAAGATATGCTCTTGGGCCATAGTTATTCGAATGACCTGCTCCAGCACTTCTTGCCAAATGTCGGTTGGTCTAAGACTGATTTGTTCAGTAATGTAACTAACCTGGGAAAAGGAATGTTGGTGTAGGTCAGGTTTGGTTTGATTTACAAAATCAGTAATATTAGTAAACAAACTTTATCAACAAATTCATTGCCGGATGTAGGTTGGTGTAAGTCAGGTTTCTTTACTAATGTCAATGGCCCTGGCTAAGGAATTTTAGTATATGTCAGGTTTGGGTTGATTGACAAGGTCGGCTACAGTAGTTAGCGAACCTGACCTGCACCAACATATCTTAATGGAGGTCGGTTTTGTTTGATTGACAAGGTCAGCGACAGTATCAAACAAACCGGACATGCACCAACATTTCTGGCAGAAGGTCAGTTGGTGTAGGTCAGGTTTCGTTTGATCAATAAGGTCAGATATGTCTGTGATAGAGTAAATTAAAAAGCCGTATTAAGTAGTAAATGTTTACTACTTATTTACAAGCAATATGTTGTGTTCATGGGGACTGGGGGAAGAGCAGACCTCACTACTTTGTTGTGAGATTGCATCTGACGAGCTTCCAACCAGTTTCAACGTTAGCTGAAACAAAGCTATAATGTCAATTATAATCTAATTATTTAATCATACCATTATTACGTTATTATACTCTTACCGAAAAATCACTTTTAAATAACGTTTTCATCTGTCATTCTGAACAAATTTCAACTTTTAAAATTCAAAATAAGGATATATTAGGTTTGTTCGGAGAAGCAGTTGCTGACCGATTTGCAGGCTGTGTTAATTTCGTATGAGCATGCGTTAACCATAAATTTAGTTCAAACTACCGCCACTTTACGCACACATACGCATCAAATAGGTCATCATTGGAAGTATAAAATCAATAAAATTTTGACATTCAACAGTCAAATTGTTTTTGACTTAACAAAATTTCGTTTTAAAACTGTGTATGTTGAAATTTTGCAGAAACAAATTCTCTATAAACAAAATTAACAGTTTTTACTTATAGTGAATCTTCTCTGAAAGCTCTTGAGCTCTTAGAGCCGTTATCCCTTCCGGAGGGCCAGGTGGTGACGGTATACCTCCTATTATAATAAAAAATTGTTGTGAATCTCTTAGTGAACCGTTATCAATCCTGTTCAATAGATCTCTGAAAGACTGTGTCTTTCCGCTAGTCTGGAAGCGGGCCTCTGTGGTGCCTATTTTTAAATCTGGCTGTAGAAGCTTGGTCGAAAACTACAGACCAATTTCTTTGTTGCCCATTTTTGGCAAGGTCCTTGAGAGCTTAATTTACAAGCCTATTTTTTACACTGTAAAAAATGTTTTGGACCCTCGACAACACGGTTTTTTTGCTGGTCGTTCGGTAGAGACCAATCTTCTCGAATATACTAATTACACTTTGCATTCTTTCGATGACAACTGCCAGGTGGACTCTGTTTATACTGATTTTAGTAAAGCTTTTGATAAAGTTGATCATCGGCTCTTACTACAAAAAATTGAACATGTTGGTTTACCCTACAGCATTCAACAGTGGCTTGCTTCCTACTTGGCTGATAGAACGCAGTCGGTTACAGTTAGAGGTATTTCCTCGCAGACGGTGTCAGTCTCATCCGGCGTACCTCAAGGAAGCGTTCTTGGACCTCTGCTTTTTAATATTTATATTAATGTATGTTTTAATGTATGCAGATGATCTAAAGATCTTCTGCCGCGTGTCAAATCCTAGAGATTGTTCTGCTCTTCAACGTGATCTATACGAACTTGCTCAATATTGTTGCACAAACTTCATCACCATAAATTATAGTAAATGCTTTACAATTACTTTTACAAAAAAGCCTGGTCCCATACGCTTTGACTACATCATTGGAGGAAAATTGTTGAACAGAGTTACTTCTATAAGAGATTTGGGCGTGACGTTTTATAGTAAGCTATTATTCAGTAAGCACGTCGATTCGGTGGTTAGCAAGGCTTTTCGTATGCTTGGTTTCGTCATGAGATCGGCTGCTGATTTTACCGACACTAATTCATTAATGACTCCCCATTATACGTATGTATTTAACATTTTGAATTATTGCACTGTTGTATGGAATCCACAATATAATATATTTGTGGAACGACTAGAGCGTGTCCAAAAGAGATTCGTTCGTTTTTTATGCTGGAAATCTCATACTACCTATGCTGACTACAACTCGGCGTGCCAATCTTTCCACTTGTTACGACTCGGCCAACGGCGACTTGCTAATGATATAATACTTTTATATAAAATAATTCATAATATTTATAAATCATCCTCGCTTACATCACTGATTAACTTCCACGTCCCGCCCAGATCGCTTCGTTTTGGTTTTCTGTTCTTTACTACAACTCCGCGCACTAACTCCTATCAGCATTCGCCATTGCTGCGCTCTGCTCGCTCTGCTGACCGTCTTGCCATTGATATATTTGCGTACGATTCCTTAATCTCCTTTAAAAGAGCGACTCTTGCTGCTGTTGGGAACATGCCCTATATAGATTAATTTATATAGATTGATTTATACTTACAATTAGTTCTTGTCCTTTCACGTGCTGATTGTTAGATACCTCGGTTACCTTCTGTTATTTTTGTTAAATTACTTATGCAATTTGAGATACTGATTTAAGTTTTTTTGTGTCCTTTTTCCTTTCTTATTGTATTTTTTTAGTGGCACAGCTTGAATTGTGTGCTGTGTCCCGTGAGCGTAAATAAATAAATAAATATCGAACACATTCAAATTTCGCGGTTTATTAAAATTACTTCTATTACAATCCCCTTGGCGGTGCTGCATTCAATTTTGTCGGTAAAATAGTGCTTCTATATAAGTATAATATAAATATTTTCTATGGTTTTGTTCAGTTTTGTGTAAATGATTGACGAAATGCGCATGTGTGTCACAAAAATCAGAATAATTTGTAGCTCTGGCAAGAAATTATTCTGACGGTTTGTTTTCAGTTGGAAATCAGTCAGCCAAGTACTACGAACGTATTACGCGATTAGAAAAACCACAAATTTGTCTACTGCGTACACTTAAAACCTAATACGCATGCGTAATAGTAAGCAATCAATCAGCAATCGTTCTCCGAATAAACCTATTAAAATAAAATATTAATTTAAATTTCACTATAGACGTTAATGCCATCTTACGGTGGGATTTCGACATACAATTAATCCCAAGTTCTCCTATCAAAGATTCCTGGGCTGCTTTTATAAAGTGTAGATTTAGATTTTAATATTATAGTTCCCTCTATAAACCAATTCACTAACTTAATTACAGGAATCTTTATTTTTACATAAACTGATTACCGACCTTATACAAACATGAAATGAAAATATAATTTAAAACAACGTTGATAATAAAAATTCTTTATTAATTATTAACAAACAAAAAAATACATAAATAAATAAATATCACAAATTAAATACTTCTTTATCAATCCACAGCAATTTTCTAATGTCAAAATAATGAAAAAAAAAGTTCGAATTTAAAATCTTTTTCAATTAACTTTTTAATCTCAGGTATTATTTCCGCATTTATGCGCGATATAATAGTGTTTAACGGCGAAGTGTTTCCCGCAAATTTTACATCGAAACCCGGCTTTCTTATCATGCGTCTTTTTATGTTTTAATAAATTATCATTCCTCGAGAACGATTTTAAACAAAGTTGACACATAAAATTTCTTTGCCCACTATGGCACGTCATATGTCTGTGTAAATGTTCTTTCCTCATAAAACTTTTTTTACAATGCTCGCAAACAAACGGTCGAAAACCTGAATGCAATTTTTCGTGTTGATATAAATGTTCGCGTCGTTTAAATACTTTCAAACAACGTTCGCAAGAAAACGATTTCGTCATTTTATTATTATCCCGTTTAATCTCTTTGATTTCTTGATTGGTGATATTCTCTGTTGCAATCGTATAAGATTGGTGTACATCTAAGTAATTTAAATTATCTTCGGTTTGGATTAATCCGAAATTTTGGGTTGAAACAACCCCCGAGGGGTTTACAACGACGGCGATTTTTTCGGTTTCGTCGATTTTATTTTGGGTTATTTTAATAACTTCGCCGTTTTGGTTAACCGAAACGTTTATGTTGGGGATTGATTCTTCTTGTTTTAAATTATTTATAGATACGTTATTTGTTTCTTTGGTTGATTCCACATCTTTTATGTAAACTTGCCCGTTTCGTTTAAAATCGTCGGTGTGTCGGTAATTGTTAAAATAAGTTGAGAGCATTTTTTCTGATGAAACGCAATGTTTTTGGAACGAAAATGACTCTTCCAGGTTTTTTAAACAATCCGAACAAACCACTTTTGGTAAACAATCGCTTTCTGATACCTAAAACATAATCAAATTAAATAAAAATTGTTTAAATTTATTTTTAAACATAACCTTAACTGAGAGACAAGCTTGGATCTTCGCTTGTAATTGCATTTTTTTTCCCTCCTCTTCGAATATGTTGATCTTTTTCTTTTCACGATTCGTAGCGCACAAACGGCACAACTCGTAGAAGTTAACGCGTTTATATCCGCTCATTTTTATTAATTATTTTTGGGGTTTTTTAAAGGAAAGCCGAATTCTTGGTTATGGATTCATCCATTTTTTGATTAATGACAGTTTGGGTTGGGGCGCCATCTCTTATCGCGCGAATAAAAATTATTAATTTTTGCAAATTAATTTTAAAAAAATAATTTTTTTTTTGTTATAATTCATTCGATTAGTTAATTTAAATAATTTAAACAAAAATTTATAATTAATTAAGTTTTTTGATAAATTTAAATAATTTTAATTCAAAGCGAAGCGCCATCTCTTAACGGAACTCCGAAATGTCATTAATAACATTACCTCAAAATTATTTTATTATTTTTTTTTAACTATATAGGTCCCTGCAGTCGGTAACTAATAAAATTCAGTTTTTCTTAAACATCTTGAAAACGGACAATAATTTTTTTTTATAACTATTAGCAATCGATAGGGATGACCCAGGGGGAAGGATGACAGACACGAAACGAGGGATAGAAACTGTGGGGAATACCAGCTAGCGGCGGAGTTGGTGAAGAGAAGTATTAATTATGACGACATGAAGAGAGGGCAGCAAGGGATTTTATCAAAAAACTAGACGGGGGAGGGGAGAAGCCAGAGAAAAGCGAGGGGTTGAAAATGGTGTTCTGGAATGTAGCGGGGATTACGAATAAGGGAGGGCAGTTCTGGGAATATCTGAAGAGATTTGAGGNTTTTCTGTTATTTTTGTTACATTACTTATGCAATTTGAGATACTGATTTAAGTTTTTTTGAGTCCTTTTTTTTCTTTCTTATTGTATTTTTTTAGTGGCACAGCTTGAATTGGGTTTGTCCTGTGCTGTGTCCCGTGAGCGTAAATAAATAAATAAATAAATAAAAATAAATTATACCAGAAGTTAGCAACAATAAAGATAGCAATTTAATTTTTAAATATCAATACTAAAGAAAATTAAATCAAATAGATTTAATTTATCCTTTTTATAATTTTATTTTGTAGATAAAAGTTTATTGATTGACCAGTTTTTATTTTGGTTGTTAAAGAATAATAATAATAATAATAACAACATTTTGGTAACTAATGAAACTAATGAAACATGGAAAATAACTGACTTGATTTCTAACATCGGTTTGCCACAAATACCAACCTTAATTTTTGATTTTTTTTTTATTATATTTTTGTTACAAATTTTAACACATTTTATAAAAATTAAGAATATATCAAAATGACATTGACATTTCAACCGGAGTACAAATATGTCAAAATTGAGGTTGATATTTTAAACCTGAAATGATTTCTACATAGCAACAGTGCTAGTGTAAAATTAGAACTAACACTATACCTAGAACTAGAATCATTCGGGTTTAGCCGTCTTTAGAGACGTGCGGCTAAATCCGAATGTTTTTAGTTCTTGGTTTAGTGTTAATTCTAGTTTTACACTAGCACTATCGCCAATATTAACACAAGACCTAGAACTAGAATCATTCGGGTTTATCCGTCTTGACAGACGTGCGGCTAAATCTGAGTATTTCTAGTTCTAGGTCTTGTGTTACTTCTACTTTTCGTTTAATAGAGATATACCACAACCTAACGCTGAATAACAATTAACACTAGGTCTAGTGTTAGTTCTAGTTTTAGTTCATTAGCAATATACAACAACTTAGCGCAATCTACCGCTAACTAACTTTACTTAGCACTGTCACTAGAACTAACACTAGACCTAGAACTAGAAACAATAGGGTTTAGCCGAATGTCTCTTAAGACAGCTAAACCCAAATGTTTCTAGTTCTAAGTGTAGTACTTTATTGTACCACTGTAGTAGTTTCGTAACTGTAGTTAAATGATATTGTGTCAATTCACATTTCTATTCATCGATAGATGGAGCTTTTTATTTTTCAAAACTTTTTGGTGTTTATTATTTCATACAGAAAATGATAAAGAGTGAGGTTGATGTGAATCAAAATTAAATATGTATATTAAATTAAAAAAAAATAGCCTAAAGAAGATTTTTAAAAATGATTTCTTAATAACCACTTTTAGATATTGTTAAACAGTGGGAGAACAAAAGCCGGGAAAAGCCCGGGCAAAGGAACAGAATCATCCCCAATTACAACTACATATGTCTGCCGTAGTTGTCGTCTTCTTTAGAAGGTCCTGTTTCGACTCGTTCGTCGTCCGGGGCGCGGGGCGAATCCACCGCGCACGCCCGAGTCGTTTTAGCCCCTAGAACGAAGCGTGCGCCCCAAACCGACCGTCATCGTCCAGTTGAAACCTGCTCCGTTTCGCGGAAACTTCGTCACCAACAGAATAAAACTTGTCTTAGAACAGTGCTCAACGATCATTGAGTGAAAAATCTGTATTGTTGAAAATTGTGCGATTTATTTTGAAATATTTAAAGAAGATCGAAAAAGGCAGATTCAATAAAACGATTCGGAAATTGGTATGTTATGATAATAATAATTAGTAAATAAATTTTAAAATTAGAAAAATATTATTTTTAATTAATTTTTGTATTTTGATGGCTTTGTTTTGTTGCGAAAGGGTATGGGGAGGAAAAATTAGGTCACAGCCGTTGGAGTGAAGGCGGTAAACACGGGGTAGTAATTAGGCCTACGGCTTTTAAGCCGTTCATAAAAGAGGAAAACTCTGCAAGAACTAATTGCGACGTGCCGCCCTTTTAACTGCTCAAGTCTCGGACCACTTCTTCAACGAGGCAAAACGCAAAAGAGGCGCGAGAGCTTTTTCTAGCGGCGGCTGCAGCTCTTACTTTTCACTACTATTACTTTTTTTGCCCACCCTTTTTTTTCTTAACTTTTCCCCCATTTAAATTCGTCCCTCGAAGCAGCACTACGTTTTAATCTAATTAAAGCAAGTTAATTTCTAGACTACTTCAATAATTTCTTATTTTTTGATTTTGATTAAACGGTTTATGTTAATTACTTGAAGATCTGGTACGGTAATTAGTAATTTTAGCTCAATTTGTAACGGAAACGGAAACACTTGCTTCGATTAACGTTTGCAAATCGGTTGACCAAAACTAGCCCCTAAACCAAACTCTTGATTAATTGTAACCGTCTCTGTAAATTAACTTTGATTCTAATTAAATTAATTTCTTATTGTTTCAGAGTTCGTTTGTTAATAAGAAAATGCTGAGAAGATAATTATTTGTTATTACGTCAAGTTAAGTAAAATGAATTTCCCGCTTTTCTTGGTTTCTTCGCTTCTTTGTCTGTGTATTTCGCAGGCGATTTCATCTTCCTCCAACTGCACGACGTAAGTAAATGAAACGAAAACGAAAAAAGTCGGTCGTTTAATTTAACTTTTCGCCCGAGAGCGAAATTGGAATTTATGTATCCATCGCGGAAAAGCTGCAAATTTAGTTCAGTCTCGGAAAAAGTAATAATTAAAAAAGGCGCTGTTGGTGACTCGAGGGTAACGACAACGGGGAAACACCTCCTCGATAATACGAGGCCGTCGTAAATCAAAATCGAACGCGCTCCTAAATAGATTTGATTACGTAAACAACGAACCCCACCGGTGTCGTTACATAATGTCTTAATTGGAACGTATTGTCCTTTCTCATCCTCAATAATTATATAGTAAAACCTCGATATAACGGATTAAATACGGAAAAACTTTGTTGTATAAATAATCCTAGTTAGAAATTCAAATATAAAGTTAATATAACCCTTTGTGTCCCGACGGTACTTTAAAGTACCGGTAGTTTTGTCATCTATTCGGCGCATTTAGAACTGTCGGTACTTTCTACTATACAAGAAAGAATCTATATAAAAAATGATACAATGGTACATTTTAAGAAGAAAGGATTGAGCTTTAATTTAAAATAAGTCTTATTCCTTAATTTCAATAAATACGACTTCCAGGAATTTTTAAATTAGCATCTTTTAGTTTATACGAAAATGTAAGTTTTGTTTCAACCTTTTTTTTCTCAATATTTTTCCAATCCAACGCAACAATTATTATACATCATTTTAAAGAGAAAGCTTTGAACTTTAATTTAGAATAAGTCTCATTCCTTAATTTCAATAAATACGGCTTCCAGGAATTTTTAAATTAGCATCTTTTTTGACACTTTTAGGTTATACGAAAATGTAAGTTTTGTTTCAACATTTTTTTTCTCAATATTTTTCCAATCCAACCCAACAATTATTATACATCATTTTAAAGAGAAAGCTTTGAGCTTTAATTTAGAATAAGTCTCATTCCTTAATTTCAATAAATACGGCTTCCAGGAATTTTTAAATTAGCATCTTTTTTGACACTTTTAGGTTATACGAAAATGTAAGTTTTGTTTCAACATTTTTTTTCTCAATATTTTTCCAATCCAACCCAACAATTATTATACATCATTTTAAAGAGAAAGCTTTGAGCTTTAATTTAGAATAAGTCTCATTCCTTAATTTCAATAAATACGGCTTCCAGGAATTTTTAAATTAGCATCTTTTTTGACACTTTTAGGTTATACGAAAATGTAAGTTTTGTTTCAACATTTTTTTTCTCAATATTTTTCCAATCCAACCCAACAATTATTATACATCATTTTAAAGAGAAAGCTTTGAGCTTTAATTTAGAATAAGTCTCATTCCTTAATTTCAATAAATACGGCTTCCAGGAATTTTTAAATTAGCATCTTTTTTGACACTTTTAGGTTATACGAAAATGTAAGTTTTGTTTCAACATTTTTTTTCTCAATATTTTTCCAATCCAACCCAACAATTATTATACATCATTTTAAAGAGAAAGCTTTGAGCTTTAATTTAGAATAAGTCTCATTCCTTAATTTCAATAAATACGGCTTCCAGGAATTTTTAAATTAGCATCTTTTTTGACACTTTTAGGTTATACGAAAATGTAAGTTTTGTTTCAACATTTTTTTTCTCAATATTTTTCCAATCCAACCCAACAATTATTATACATCATTTTAAAGAGAAAGCTTTGAGCTTTAATTTAGAATAAGTCTCATTCCTTAATTTCAATAAATACGGCTTCCAGGAATTTTTAAATTAGCATCTTTTTTGACACTTTTAGGTTATACGAAAATGTAAGTTTTGTTTCAACATTTTTTTTCTCAATATTTTTCCAATCCAACCCAACAATTATTATACATCATTTTAAAGAGAAAGCTTTGAGCTTTAATTTAGAATAAGTCTCATTCCTTAATTTCAATAAATACGGCTTCCAGGAATTTTTAAATTAGCATCTTTTTTGACACTTTTAGGTTATACGAAAATGTAAGTTTTGTTTCAACATTTTTTTTCTCAATATTTTTCCAATCCAACCCAACAATTATTATACATCATTTTAAAGAGAAAGCTTTGAGCTTTAATTTAGAATAAGTCTCATTCCTTAATTTCAATAAATACGGCTTCCAGGAATTTTTAAATTAGCATCTTTTTTGACACTTTTAGGTTATACGAAAATGTAAGTTTTGTTTCAACATTTTTTTTCTCAATATTTTTCCAATCCAACCCAACAATTATTATACATCATTTTAAAGAGAAAGCTTTGAGCTTTAATTTAGAATAAGTCTCATTCCTTAATTTCAATAAATACGGCTTCCAGGAATTTTTAAATTAGCATCTTTTTTGACACTTTTAGGTTATACGAAAATGTAAGTTTTGTTTCAACATTTTTTTTCTCAATATTTTTCCAATCCAACCCAACAATTATTATACATCATTTTAAAGAGAAAGCTTTGAGCTTTAATTTAGAATAAGTCTCATTCCTTAATTTCAATAAATACGGCTTCCAGGAATTTTTAAATTAGCATCTTTTTTGACACTTTTAGGTTATACGAAAATGTAAGTTTTGTTTCAACATTTTTTTTCTCAATATTTTTCCAATCCAACCCAACAATTATTATACATCATTTTAAAGAGAAAGCTTTGAGCTTTAATTTAGAATAAGTCTCATTCCTTAATTTCAATAAATACGGCTTCCAGGAATTTTTAAATTAGCATCTTTTTTGACACTTTTAGGTTATACGAAAATGTAAGTTTTGTTTCAACATTTTTTTTCTCAATATTTTTCCAATCCAACCCAACAATTATTATACATCATTTTAAAGAGAAAGCTTTGAGCTTTAATTTAGAATAAGTCTCATTCCTTAATTTCAATAAATACGGCTTCCAGGAATTTTTAAATTAGCATCTTTTTTGACACTTTTAGGTTATACGAAAATGTAAGTTTTGTTTCAACATTTTTTTTCTCAATATTTTTCCAATCCAACCCAACAATTATTATACATCATTTTAAAGAGAAAGCTTTGAGCTTTAATTTAGAATAAGTCTCATTCCTTAATTTCAATAAATACGGCTTCCAGGAATTTTTAAATTAGCATCTTTTTTGACACTTTTAGGTTATACGAAAATGTAAGTTTTGTTTCAACATTTTTTTTCTCAATATTTTTCCAATCCAACCCAACAATTATTATACATCATTTTAAAGAGAAAGCTTTGAGCTTTAATTTAGAATAAGTCTCATTCCTTAATTTCAATAAATACGTAATAAATATATATTGAGTGAAATGTCAATTTGACAGTTAAACGTCAAACAATAAAAGTGACGTTTTAATATTTAAAATTGATTCTTAATTTTAATGTTATATCGTACAAAAATCGACATTGGAGAAATAAATTTCGTTGTTTACAACTTTAAGATTCAATTTTGTCAATGTCAATGTGGAAAAAAGATTTTTGTATATTTAAAGTCATTGTTAAACGTCATTAATAAATCTTATACGATTTGATTGATATTGGTGACGTATATTAAATTAATAAGTGTTAAAGTTAATCTAAAAATGTTAGAATTTCAAATGTTTAATAAAGATTTAAATAATAAAATTAATTTACTAAGAAATTTTATAAAAACAGAATGACAACCTTAAAATTGAAATGTCAATTTGACAGTTTAACGTCAAAACGTAAATGATATAAAAGTGACGTTTTAATAAATATTTTAAATTGATTCTTAATAAATATTAATGTTATATCGTACAAAAATCGACATTGGAGAAATTAATTTCGTTGTTTATAACTTTGTAAGTATTAAACGTTAAATTGAGTTTGCCAAAAAATAACCATTGATTTTGGTAAATTTTAAGTCATTGTCCAAGTTATTAATAGATCTTATACGAATTGTTTTTTGCGAAATTGTCATTTTGAAACTTCGAAACGTTAAAGTTAAGCTGAATATGCTAGAAATTCGTATATTTAATAATTTTAATAATAAAATTGGTTTTAAATTTTATAAAAATAGAATCATGGATAACCTTGAAATTGAAATGTCAACTTGACAGTTTAACGTCAAAAAGTAATTAAGTTACAAAAATGACGTTTCAACAAATTGATTTTTAAGTTTTCGCAATAAATGATAGAAAAATGAGTCTTTGAAAAAGAAACAGATCTTTTAAATGATATTTTTTGTTGTAATTTATTAAAATGCATAGCTAAGCCCGAATGTTTCAAAATTCTGGGTCTACTATCCGTGCAAAAAGTCCAGGCCCCTCACTTTAGAGATCGATATCTTCGCAACCGCTCCATAAAAAAAATTGCAACAAAGTTTGTTGTAATCACTGAACATTTCTACGTAACTTATGTTAATCTGAAAATTTTCGGATCCACGGTTTTCTTTTTACCGCGAATTAAATGAAAAATGTACCCGATTTTTTACGGAATTGGCAACTTTATCAACTTTGCGATTTTTTTTCTCGAAAACTATCGTACGAAAAAATTTGAATTTTGAACAGGTGGTAGTCTGATGTGCTCTCAATGAATGGCATATTTTATTTTTTCGATATTTCATATACTTTCGCGGAAAATCGCGGTTTAGTAAGACGCCGTTATGTCGAAAACGGTTGGGTGGATTTCCTCGCGGATTTCACCAAAATATGTCAAATAATGTTGGTTGTCGTATTCCGTTATCAGTTTTTCAAAATTAAGGATCCCTATTTTTTTAAGAACGATTTAATGGAATTACAAATTAAAAAGAAACAGAAATAAGCTCTACGGGGTGACGAGGGTTCCGGCCAATCGGAACAGATGGTGCGTCCCAGACAGGACGTCGCGCCTTATTTCTTTATGTAGGCAAGATAAAGGCGCGACGTACTGTCTGGGACGCACCATCTGTTCCGATTGGACGGAACCTTCCTCTCCCCGCATAGCTGATTTCTGTTTCTCTTTAATTTGTAATTCCATTAAATCGTTCTTAAAAAATTAGCGAGCCTTATTTTTGAAAAACTGATAACGGAATCC